CTGCTCAGCCCCGGGGCGAGCGCAGCTGCAGCCCGGCCCCGGGGGAAGAGGCACTATAAATAGGGGGGCTGTGGGGAGGGGGAGCTGCCACCTCCGCGCTTGTTTTCAGGCTGTCCCAGCCAGGCGGTATCGAACCCAAAGAGGCGGCCCCAGGCTTTTACAAACTCTCTCGGGTTCCTCAGGGGCTTCTCTGAAGTGAAACGCTTCAGGTGACTCCAGCGAGCACGGAGCTGTGCCGCTGCCTTTGCAGGGATCCTTCCCGGGCTGGCTCAGGGACTGGCATCCTTGGCACGTTCCCATCTTTTGTCCCTTGCAAGCTCTGGGGTCCTCCGCTTGCTCTGGAGGCCCAGGACCCACCGCAGGAGGGTCAGCAGGGAAGGTGACCAAAAGGCTTTTAGGACTTTGCTTTCATCTTTACTTGCAGGTCAAACTCGATTTTCTCCTCCATATTCGCTCTTTTCTTCTCTCCTCCTTCACCTCCTCTGCTTTTTGGTGCTGTTCAATCTAGAATGATCATTTGAAAACCAACCCACAAAGGAAACACTGGGAAGGAGACATTCTAAAGAAATGGTATCCTAAAGCAAAAATGAATGTGCAGATACATTAACCAAATGAAAGGATTCACCTGGGGTAAAGTGTTCATTTATCTTTTCGTATGCTTAATCTTCTATTATTATTTAATACCAGTATTTCAAGTGGCAACTAAGGGGTGGTGGATGAAGGGAATAACAGCCCGTGGGATCCAGGAGAAGAATAAATGTACAGATTATCTACAGATTGTGTACAGATCTACACAGTGACAATTTAAAAACCAACAGATGTACACAATACATACACAAATGCATATACACACACATGTAAGATCATACGTCATAAACGTGTAAGAAAGATGTGGGGGGTTATTTTCTTTCTGATCTTTTCCTTCCTCTGCACATTTCAATGGTCATGCCTGCAGCTAATGCACGCTAAGGAGGAAAAGACCTCAGCTGAAACTCAAGTAGTTGGGTTGTTGCATGAAAACTGTTTTTTTGGAGGAAGGAAACCAAAAGATTTTTAATGGAATTTACAGGATGACAAAGAGAACAGAATTATTTTGCCTCTCTGTATAACAGAACAGATTTACACCTTTCAGGATATTTCCAGTTGACATTTTTTCATATTTTTCCTACTCTTAAGGATGGTGTTGCAATGAGTTATGTACCTACTCTGAAAAATCCCTGGTATTGATTTTCTCTGGCTAGACAGCTTTCATCTAATCTATCAGTAAAAAAATAAGAGTTTTCTATGTCTTCAGCATACATCTATGAAAATAACAAAAATCAGCCAAGGCAGCGTGTGTATGTGTGTGTTTTATATGTGTGTGTTTTATATGTGTAGAACACAGATCGCAGAACGTTGGGGGTTGGAAGGGACCTCTGGAGATCATCTGGTCCAACCAAAGCAGGTCCATCTCGAGCAGGTTGCACAGGATCATGTCCAAGCGGGTTTGGAATATCCCCAGAGATATTCACATATAAATGTGTCAGTGTGTGTATTTGTGTGTTGGTCAAAGTACATCACGGTAACATACGCTCTCAAGCGATAGACGTTGCTACAAATGTGACTGTTAAAATAAGTAAAAATACAATGGCGATCCTCTAAAAGAATCATTACCGAAAGAATTGCATTTCTTCACGACAACTACACTTTCAGCCCTTACTCTGATCCTGTGAAAAAGTTCTTTGCTGTCAGTGGTTCTGATATTGCAAAAAAGAGGAAGAATATCACCTACATGTTTTCTCTAAATTCATTCAGCTAGTTCTCTTTCTTACTTCTTTTACCACTATGCTCCTTTTTCAGCAGCTCCACAGCCAAAACCAGTAAGGTGACTGCCTACAAAATCTTCAATGCAGTTGTGATGGAATTATGTTTAGCCTCAGGATTTTAATATTTTTTCTGAAATAATCTGGTAATTGAGGTATATTATCAGTGCTCTGATTATCCCTGGAAAAAAAAATAACTGTCTCATTCATTTCACTGGACAGTGCATAGGGATATTTATTCAATTGCTGAAATCATCATGAATTATCAAGGTTTTATATTACAGATTTGGATTAATAATGTCATCATGAATGAAAGAAATATATACAGGAAGTTTTCCATCACCACCATAAGAGTGCCTGAGTTTAACAAAATCTCAGGGTTTTTTTCACAGGACTGATTTAGTTACCACTTTGTGTCTGTGCTTCAGAAAAAGAAATGTTCTCAGATCCATTCCCACAATATCCTAAAATAAATGTGTAACTTCTCTCAGATAAATAAATTACATTTGATGTATATGGGCCTTAATTACATCCTCTGTGTTATACAGAAGAAGGACAAATGCTAGGTCATTCAGCCTTGCTTTTAGTTGATTCTGCATATATATACATATTTAAGCAAAACAGGCATTTACATCTATACACACACACACACACACACATATATATATATATATATATCTCTACACCCTCATTCAAAATTACTAATTCCTATTAGCCAAAGGGAAGAGAGAGAATAAAAATAATAGTGACCAACAATATATTTGATTTCTGACAATTCTGGCAGAATGTCCTGAACTCTTTACAGTCAATGACAGATTAAAATTGCTCAAGATACAGATTAAAAAACAATTAAAATTGCTATTAAAATATCAAAACAAAACAAAACAAATAAGCTCCCCAAATCTTTCTCATCTAATCCTATTGAAAATAATTAAAGCTTTCCTATAGCTACTGGCTTCAAGCTGTCAAATATTCTTAAAAAGATGGCCCATGACACTAAATTTTTCTTAAGCTCTTCTGTCACTCGACTAAATTACCACCTCTCCTCACTGCGTATGGCCTCAGGCACTAGCTTTTCTGAAACTACCCATCCTACCATCTGACCTTGCGTGGGATCAGACCATGCTCCAGCATGACCAGGTTGTCAGGTCAGAGTTACCCAGTTTGAACAAACCTTCATCTTTGTTGTGCAGATAAAGCCACAGTAGATCTGGCAAAGCAATGTCAGAATGACCAACGTGATGCCTACATCGGTATTTCCATATTATCTGACCACATCAGTCTATCAAAAGTTGATGGGCTCTGCCCACATCTGGACAATTTTACAAGCAAATATCATTTAAACATTATCATTCATTAAATCATCCATACTTTGGTAACTGCGTCTGAAAATAATGTATTGGAGAGCATAATTTGATGGGATTGAAGAGAAACAAGCTCAGTGATTTGGGCCAAGTAACAAGTTTTCATAGTCCTCTATTACCTCAGGATTTTGAGAGCATATCAAAAGGACATTATTTAATTTAATTTACAGTTGCACTGCATTACCTGATTCTTAATAGATCATTTTCTAAACAGGACAGGTGGTTTTACAGCCAACAAAGTAAAGATGTCATATTGTCACATACAATTTTTAGAGGCAAAAAATGTACCACATGGATAATTAGTTTCACTCTCCCACGATTCCACATAAACAGCTCGTGAAAGACTGTTGTGGCAACGTCGCCAAATGTCTCTAGATATATAAATTACACACATATGCCTATTTTTATAAATGAGATTTGGGAATATCAGTAGCAATCGCACGGTGGGAATAAATAGCTGATTTCAGAGGTCGTACTGTACTTGCACTGTATGAGTGTCCCGTGGCCCCAACACAAAGGTGTCTGTATTTAATAAATAGCAGTATCACCACAAGATTAATTTTCCTTTCACCTAAAGTGCTGGAGGAGAAATCTAGCTTTTATCTGTTTCCAAATGTTCTGTGGAACATCCAGTTCCTCCCTCAGTCTGCATAGATTTTTTTTTATAACCACGAAGCGCAGTGTGGCCAGACACTTTGCCCTCTTTTTCTTTTCTCTGTGCAACAGATTTGGGGTGTTCCCCACTTTGCCCCTGAGCCAGGGCTAGTTCCAGGACTGGAAATGACTGTCTTACTCCAGATGTGTTGCTCTCAGTGGTGCACTCCCAGCTGATCTCCTGGTCATTCCTCCATGGAGTGCTCTTCTGGCAAATGCCCCTCTCATTCTTATTTACATCTGTAAGGATGACTCACTGGTGAGATGTCTATCAGTGTTTTGCCATTTTTTACAGTCAAACATTGATCCCTGTCCTAGAATAGGGGCAGAGAAGTTGTTTTATGTAATCTGATATGAACCACACTGCAAAAATTAAGATTCCATTATTGGCATGTCTTCCTGCCTAAATGCTAGAAAGCTCCATATATGAGCTACTGTCACCTTGGAAACGTTCAGAAAAGAAATACCAGTCTCCTGGAGAAGCACAGTATGTAACCATATAGCAAACTGAACTGGCCAGTTAGTCTACCAAGTTTCAAATTCATGATGAGGTGATACTAAAGTA